CCTAAGCAACCCATGGAGCCCTTTCCTTAAGGCCTTGGACGATTTCACATGGGCTTCCCCCATAGAATTCGTCCACCTTATAATATAAGGCAATCCATGGCCCAAATTGCAATTATCTTATAATTACAATTCCAGTCCCTTAAGTTTAATTAATCTCTTTTAGTCACAAAACTAATTACCAATTAATTATTGACTAATATTAATTAAACAATACGAATTCTCCTTTAATATATTATTCCCATAATATATTAATAAATCATATTTAATCCTTTCTCTCAATAATTCATCCTATCAAGTTGCTTTGGTGAAGGCAACCCAAAAGGACCATGCACCATCGGGTCAAGTACATACCAAAATAGTTATGGACTTAGACACTAATCCAACAGTCTCCCACTTGGATAAGTCTAATAACTATTCTGCATATGACTTCAGATCCTGATCTACAATCATAGCTTTCCAAAGTCGCTGTTAACTCTGATCATATCAGATCCACGTGTCCTTAGATAAGTGATCATATATTCCTCCTTTCTAGATATCGTATGAGACATGATTTCAAATCATTCTCTTTGTACTATATCTCGATTTCTGATTTATGATGACTGACTAATTGAGCAAATCAAATTAGCCCTAGCCCAGCTGAGCATTTACGTTTGTCATTACTAAATCATCGAGGGGCCCAAAGATATCGCTTTTATTATGCTTTGAATAAAAGGAACGGATAAACTTTGATACAATGCTTGCTTGCACTCACTAACCAAATCACACACAACAATATGTTTTATAACACCAAGTTACTAGTGTGTTTACATATTATCAATGTGCAACCGATTAGCAAGATACAACTCACACATCTCGGTTTCAAGAATATAAGATGTTATCGTCTCACCAATCACTCGTGATACAATTCATGGAGTGATCCAAGTGAGCGTGGGTTTAATCCAATGCTCAAATCATATTCATAAGCACTCATGAACGTTGCAGCAAACAATTGCTTATGTCTAATACTCTCTTAGACAATCCACACACCAATTCACGACAGTCTTCACTCATATCTACTTCCAACATATGAACGAATGTGGCCCGTTCGAATAATTTGACTGTTCTAAACCAATTAAATTATTCAGGAAGTTAAAACATGCAAAGTGAAACACAAGAATAATACTAATCCCATATGGCCTCAAACCTTTGAGCATAAATAAAACACCTTTTATTTATCACCATATTGATTACTCATTATTTGTCGTTTCGGGTAATCGACTTCTTACTTGAATTATTACACTTGTCCCATGCTCCTAGCATGCACACAATGTTTACCTATGGTTCTTACTTTGTGAAATAGATCAAATTGAACACATTTCCAATCATCCTCATTTCACAACTCCAAATCCTTTTTCATAAGTGAAAGAATATAAAATTCTTGCTACTTATAGAATATGTTAGATTCCAACATTCTATGCAATGATCCTTTCGAAATGTCATTGCACCAAAGTCACAAAGACTATTGCCAATGATATTACAAAGTCCTCTATCGGAGATTGTTACAAGACAATTCCTTAGATATGATGTCTCTTACTCAAAGTACATTCCTTTGAACATCCTTTTGCATAAAAGTTTCTAATCTAGACATAGATTTTCCATATTCAATTCCCAATATGGATATGCTTCCATATTTTCCATATGACAACTCATTCTTAATAGAATCTTATCTATTCGTAATGATGTCGATATGGTCCATCGAATATGGAAACATTTCCATAATTTCCATATGACAACTTATTCTTAATAGAATCTTTTCTATTCATAATAATGTCGATATGGTCCATTCAATACCATGCTTCCAACTACTCATAAGCAACCAATCCTCGTCGAACTTTGGATTGTCCTTTGATAGTTGTTTAATTATTTTAGTCAAAACCGATTCTAGTCCCTTTTCCCCCCTAAATGTGCTAGACATTTTTGAAAATTTTAGAATGGTAAAACATTAAAGCATTTGCAATCGATCCTATACCCGAAGCATATGGGACACGACACATAATGTTTTATTTGCTATGTTCTCAAAATTCGAATTGTGAAAAGGAATGCCATAATTATAATCAAAATTTTAAGAACACACTATGTTTTTTTTGACTAAGTTATTAACATTCCACAACCTAAGCCTTTAGATTTGAAATGAAGCATAATATTCTCTCCCTTAATTATAGCAAAACAACTATTCCATCCTTACGACTTTTGCAAAGAATGACTCTTGTTTTCTATAATTAATATTGCCAACTTGCAATACTTGCCTTAATAATCATACAATCATAACATTTATGCTCCCACTATCATGATGATTATTATAAACATAACACTTATTCTCCCACTAGCTTTGACATGTATTCATAAACATCTTAACTTTCAGAAAAACAATACCTATTGAATTTTTTAAGTCCATGTTTCTAATACTTAATGCTTTGATAATCTATTATCAAGTCTTCTCGAACTGATACACCATTGCCTTAGATAGTTCATATGTGTGTCTAAACACTTAAGACTAATTTCCAAAACTCACAATTCAAATTATGGAAAGCGATACCGTAACCATAATCGAATTCGAGAATGCAATTTTACAATCACTATCTTCTTAAAATATTTCTTAGTGAAAGCATTTCCTCACAATCATTTTCATGAAGGAGAAAATCTTATGACACTTAGATTTAAACGGTGTATTTGTTCCTATCCATGTGAATTTGTCAAAACCAAAGTTTACGACAAATTCAAACACATATGGATCGAACTTTCTTAATCTTGATTTCTTGCTTTATGGTGGCATAGCTGCCCACCATGTCTTCCAAGTAGTTAAGCAGCTCACCCTTTCCTATCAATGTACCTTTCATTGATTAAAGTGCCTTGCCTTTGATGCGTCCAAAATGAGAACTCATAGAACTTACATGCATAATTAACTCAATTGGAATAGCACAAAAACAAAATAACATCAACACGATAGGTTGTAAACCTTAACTCGTGTGCTAGTGATGAATGATAAGGTTTATTTGATTTGTTCTTGAAACCTTTCAAGACGATTAAGACTCCCACTGACTCCTTGACATATAAGATTCTCTTGTCAATAACCATTTCTTGACAAACAATTATTCAAGAGTTAGTGTAGCTTATATCAAAACACTTCATAAATTGGTCCTAGTTGGTCTTTGTCTTATCCAAGACATTACAACTTTCCACAATTGATGAATGTTATATACCTTATTAATACTTTCTTTTACTCGACGTCACAATCTTAACTTTAAGACTTGTTATTGGAACGAAGTATGATTGACCTTTTGATTTAACTATTTCTTCAATTCTTGATTCCTCTTCTTAGACATACAATTGTGCTAAGACTCACTTAGAGGATCAATTAAGATATGGTTCTTAATCATTAAGACCTATCATAAAGCATAAAAGCTACTCTCCCTTCTTCTTATAATGGAGAAACTTTTATCTTTCTGCCTACTTGATTCTTCTTATTCGTTTTGCTATTGATTTAAACCTTTTTAATCAATTCCGAATTACACTTAATCTTATAAGTATAATCATATTTACTAAACTTTTAGTAAATCATGATGAATGTCTTGTTACTATTATGGTGGACTGTGACCATCACACAACTTTGTGTACTTGATCTCCTAGTCCTTCACTTGACACTTTATCAACGAATTAGTCTAATTTCCAAATATGAAATTTCTCATTCATCATGCAACCAAGTTGCGTGATTCCAAATTTCTGTCCAATTGAAACTTGGGCGATGAGAAACTCTCCTTATGTGGTAAATTCTCGACTTTTCCATAAACACCATAAATAAGAATCATATCCTTTTGTTGTAGAAATATGCAAACATCAATTTTCATACACTACTAGAAAACTGCCCTTTAATGATGCGCAAACAATGACGCGCGCTAATAGAGGATACACATTTGTGCGTGCCCTAAAAAATAATGTCAGCTCTGGAAAATTTGAAGGATAGAGGAAACGCATTTTTGAGCGCCTTAAAATTAGTGTCCAACAAAAAAATTTAAAAACACGGAGGGCACCTATCCTAAAAAGCGCGTCGTGTTACCTTGTCGCTTTATAATTTTAGTCTATTAGTGCGTGTTTTCATTTTTTTGGGGGGAATGAAATCCAAAAAATTAAAAACCCCGCTTGCGTCTCCTCCTTCCACGGGAATGCTCACCTCATCAGACTCACCACCATCTCTCTCTCTCTCTCTCTCTCTCTCTCTCTCTCTCTCTCTCTCTACAGTTCACCTCCATACCACCACCATGGTTGTCACAGCTACATCTCACCACCTGCAACCTCAACACAATCGACCATAACCACCATTCCTACCATCCATCGTCGCCCTACCATCTTCTCCATCACCACCTCTTTCTTGTTCTATGTGAAACCCTAAAATCGGTAACAACAATTGATAGGTTCGATTCTAACCCTAGTTCGTTCTCCCCCCTCCCCTTTTCCTCCACAACAACTGATAGGTTCGATTCTATGGGGTTCACGAAGCATGGTTTATACATCTAGGGTTTTTGAATTTCGAGTATTATGCACACAAATGTCAGACAAAATATGGTCCGATTCCTGTTCTTAAAGCCCTCAACTCCGATTGACATGTGATCAAGGCTGGAAGAATTATCGACTCCTTCAAATAAATGTTATCATCTTCCTATATCAATCTGTTTTCATCTATGCTCAACATTCCAAGGTACAACTCTCTTTTAAACTCCAATATCAACATCTATTCATTTACTTTCCATGAATTCTGATCATCGCATTTGACTTCATCATTCCCAGGAATGATTTTTTCTAAATTCATCTCTTTACTTACCTGATTGTGTTATCTACTTGTTGGTGGGATTTCTATCAGTTTTTATTTTAATTTAAAGTGAAATGATCGAGTGCACGTGAGGTGTTTGATGAAATGCTCAAGTGAGTGAAGATAATAATTTCTTTCATCTTTTGGCTATGTAAAGATGGAGGTAATAAGATGGGTAAGGATGGAAAAGTTGACATGTTGTGACATAATGGCCAACAGGGTGCTGCAATTCACATAATCGATGCCAACACCGAACATCTATTTTCTTTTCTTGCTGGCTTTCTCATGATTTGTGCTTTGTGACTTCAGATAATTACAGAATTCAAGGAGCAAGGATTGAATACCGAATTGTACAGCAAGAACAAAGACAGAGGGGATACTTATAGTATTGTACCCACAAGTGCTATCAGGTAGTTTTTTATGAGATCTACTGTTCACACACCATTTGAATATTGGGTTTTGAACTTTGAACAAAATCTTTGCTTTTTGGGGAAAAGCAGTGGTGAAGGCATACCTGAGATGTTGTTGCTACTTGTCCAATGGGCTCAGAAGACAATGATTGAAAAACTTACATACAGTAGTGATATTCAGGTGTGTGCGTGTGTGTGTGTATATATATATATATATCTCCTTTTTCCAATTCCACCTTTATTCCATCTGTGAGAGTTCTGATTACTGATTCTTGGAATGAAAAATCTTTGTAGTGTGCGGTATTGGAGGTTAAAGTGATAGAAGACCTTGGAACAACCACTGATGTGGTTTTGGTTAATGGTGTGCTTCATGAAGGAGATGAAATTGTTGTTTGTGGCTTTCAGGTAAGTGCAAACACTTTGTTGCTACATTCGAGTTACTTTTTGTTTGTATACTATAATTAATAAATATATGAACGAATGCCGCTATTTTCTTGTTTAAAATATAATGCATGTGCATGTGCAGGTGTCAATTCATACAACAATCCGATCATTGTTGACTCCTCACCTAATGAAGGAACTCCGAGTAAAGGTGAGGATATGTTTGAACCTTTTTGGGCATTTTAAATTTGACAATTGTTTTTCAAATTCATTAGTTTTGTTGAGTCTTTATGAGTTTGTTTGTTGTTTGATTCAGGGAGCATACATTCATCATAAAGAAATCAAAGCTGCACAAGGGATTGATTTACTTACTTCATTTCATAGACCCTTCTCTTTTACTGTCCCATGTGGAAGATTTCCCAAACAGATTGATTTGTGGTACGCTGCTGATGGAGACACAAGATGGAGGTGATGTCAAAGGAGAAGTTTCTCCTCGTGACATAGTTTACACACAGGCTGCTGGAGGTGAAGAAGACCCAAACATCTTTCACATGCTTGATCTTCGCTTTGAGTAAGTTTTTCTTTTTTATTTTCCCTCGGCATAAAGTCATATTTTTTTTCAATATCAGCAGAGGAATAAGCTGGCGTGATGATTCACTTGCATTGATATATGAAGATTCGTACTCTGACCCATGCTGCGGAGAACTTCTTATGGGACTTATGTTATTGCCAAGTTCAAGAAGGAGGATAAACAAGAGACATACCTGTTGCTAAATGGAAGTGGTGCTACTGCAGAAGGAAACACGAAATAATTAAGGCGTATTTACATTCTACATTTCTACATTACATTACATACCCACATCTTTTATTTATACTATAACTTACGTTTTATATATATTCTTAGGGATATGAAGGAGAACCTGATAATTCTGGAAATTGTGAACAGGTACATAATACCCGTCTTCTGGATTTATATCATTAGTATGTCAGTGAAGTTGGGGACCAAAATTTAAAATTTTAATATCTGCTATTTTGTAACAGATCTTCTTAGAGCTAATGAAAGTTCCACGTTCGGAAGCTAAACTCATAGTTTACTCTTATAAGTTGCAGTTTAATATGTTGGGTCGTGGTTATATCAGATTAGCAGTTCTGTAAAGTCGAGGAGAGTGCTGCTGACAACTTTTTCTCTTGGAAATGCTTTCAACTAGGGAACTGCAACAGGTTAGCTTTCTATTTTTTATTTTATTTTTGGAGTTACAAAAATTAAAAAAGCATGGATTTGGTTTTAGGTTCTGCTTTTTGGTTCAGATTGAGTAGCCTCTTAAGACTTGACGAAACAAAGGCACATTTTGATTTGGTTTTGAATTTTGGTGTTAGATCTTTAACTTTGATTTTGGGTTGGTTTGATTTATATAGGATTTGGTTGAATCTGGTTAGGGTTTCTCGAGAAAAGAGATGGATTGCTGTTGGGGTATAATTATACACCGTGACCATTAAAGACAGAAGCGATAAAGTATACAAGGGCAAAATGGTCATTTTCATAAATTTAGTCGATTCAGGGACCAAAAGTGTTATGAAAAATTGCCCTCATCAAGCCTTCAAAACTCGTTCCTGCCCTCAAGGTATACATATATATATATATATATATATATATATATATATATATATATATATATATATATATATATTTAACCTCCTTTAATATTTTTTAAATTAATTAATAAAATGTAATTGTTCTTAATATAAATTTTTTAGGAGGGAACAACTAGTCCTGCTGCATTCACCAGGGCAACGGTTGTTGTTGCGGTCAAGTATTCAATAGTTGAACGACCAGAGAATATCGATGCGGTCCTCTACCCTGAAATTTCCTCATTTCTTATGCTTATCAAGGATCAGGACCGGGTAAGTCTCTCTCTCGCTCTCTCTCTCTCTCTCTATATATATATATATATATATATATATATATATATATATATATATATATATATATATATATATATATATATATATATTCCAATATCCTACATATCTTCACACAAATGGAAACACGGTAACTTTTAAGAACTTTTCCTTCTATTTGGACATGAAACTATTGGGGGCAGAATGTGAGGGTGACCTACTAGGTGTACAAACCTGATCCTGTCTCTTTCTATTTCATATATGTGTCTACACCTAAGTGAGCTTATTCTTATTCTTTTACTTTTATAGTTACCACTAAAAGCAATCCAAATCCTTTTGATTATGTCCCTGAGACATAGTCACAGACCTTGAGGCCTTCTTCAAAGCATTCTGACCAATATACCCTTCACAACATTTACCTTTTTATCCTTCTTCTTGAGACTTTATATTGACTTATCCTTGAGGTACACACTAACCCATAAGCTTAAACTCCCTACCTGATACCCTGTTAACTATAAGCTTTACTAAAGTAATCAACTTTTTCACATACTTTGAGCTGGTTTTAGGTAAGGTGGTTTTGGGCCTATTTTCACTTAATTTTCTTCACAAGAGGTCGCAATACAGCCAATTATAAGTGCTTTATTATAGGTTAAGCTTCCTGGAGGAAAAGAAATTGCAGTGAAGAGGTTGTCAAGCATCTCTGGACAAGGTTTGCAAGAGTTCAAAAATGAGGTTATGCTTATTGCTAAACTTCAGCATTGAAATCTTGTTAGACTAGATACATTTATATTTGGTTAGTTCATTTCTCCATTCATATGCTTAGTTATATCTGTAAACATAACTAACTTTTTTTATATTAAGATAAAGAAAGGTCTTCATGATGCTGAATTTTTCTAATATTGGTTTTGCGTTGCAGACAGTATGGTACAAGGGAAAGTAAAGAAGTTACATTGGAAAGGAGAGTTCAGTTTGATTTACTTCAGGTCATTTCTTCTAATAAATGTTATTGAACAAGTAAGTTGATATGTAGGGATAACTATAAGGTTTTGATTCATTATCTTATTTTCTGCAGGCTATGCAAAGAGATTATAAATTGAGCTCGTACTCACTGAATTCTGTTTCAACACACTTTTTTAATGAGCAAGTATTCTTTTTACGTTCTAGTAAGGTACACATAACTAACTTTTTTTATATTATGAAACTATATCTTATATATATATATTTATATATAAAACTAGTAGAAGTTTCTCGCGCCATTGGCGCGGGTTAGATACGAATTTTGTGCATGCAACATCGATTAGAAGAAGAAGCAAAAGGAAAGGTTTTGGGAGGAGAATAATCTCATAATTAAGAGTCACATGGGAAGGTGCTTTAAAAAATTGTAAACCACACCACACGTTAAGGTCCTAGGGTCTTGTTCAATGCTTTAGCTGTGTTTGCTCTAAGGGAGATCAACTTATCAAAAGTAAGTTATCTTTTTCACCCTTTTATTTAATATTTTTTTGATTGAATGAAAGTCTTAATTAAAGTAATTGACAACCCTTTTTCTGTAAATGATGTTGTGATTGTGGGAGAGGTGTTGTGTTTTTCTTCGTTGCTAGGTAACCTTCTCAACAATAGCATTCTACTTAAGCAGGTGAGTAATCAAGATTAAGGGAGACTTGTAATCATGTTTGGCATTCCTATCCAGTAAGAAACAGAGTTGTATGATTACTTTTTAGTTTTACAGGAATGTATAATCCATGTTAGCAATGTATTATTTTTGTTTAACATTTGAATGATTCTTTATATGACATTATAATTTGTGCAATTTATTTTATTTTTTGAGTATGAAATTTTATTTTATATTATGCAATGGATTGTATTTTTGTATATGGTATTTTATTTCTATTATGAGAAATTAAATGAAAATTTAATTTAAAAATTAATAAATATATAAATTATTTTTTTAAACATATAAATTTACGATACGCAAAAATGTGTGTCATCTTCATTTATGACATGGCCTTTCTTGATACGCATTGCGTGTCATTAACATGTGCGTCGTAAGGTTACGACATGCGAATGCGTGTTGTCTTCCTTTATGACAAGGCCTTCCTTGATACGCATTGAGTGTCGTAAACGCGCGTCATAAATGCGTGTCGTAAATGCGCGTCGTCTATAGACTACACGCAAAAGCGCGTCGTCTCTCTTTATGCCAGGGCCTTCCTTGACGCGCATTTGCGCGTCGTTTGAGCCTTTTACGACGCGCAATGAGCGTCGTAAAAGGCTGTTTTTCTAGTAGTGCATAACGATTTCATTGCAAGGAAATAAACAAATAAACAAATAAGTCAAACCAAAATTTATTTTATTTATAAAAGCAGCGGAAAACATTTGTCCTTACAATGCAAAATCCATTGAAAACTATGTGTTTCAAAAAGAAAATTTCTAAAAACTCTATCATAACTATCTAAGCTCAAAAATCTAATCTTCAAGTCCATGCGATCAAGATCCATTTCTTGTGATTAGATTCATCTTGCTCTTTCACCAAGCTTCCTTTCTTTTCACCGATCCTGCAAAAACATTCAAATGCAATTTTATCACATCATGAATCAATGAATAGGAACTTAACGAAGTTAGATAGTGGATTTTACCTGAAGCGTAGTCATACTCTTGGACTCTCCCATCTTTGGAATTTTCAGGCTCTTGGGGCAGACTTCTATCCAACGCCCTTTCTCTTGGCAGCAAACGCAGGTTGCTTCTCTTAGAATGTCCTCAGAAGCATGGTCGGTTGACTTTCCCAACAAGTACACTCCATTGCTTCGCCAAATCATATCTGATTCAGTAGCAATGCGCATGTAAGTTAGGTCAATGAGGTTGTCCTCATGATCCATCATATAATACTTTCTTTTGAACTCATTATATGATTCAGGAAGTGACTGCAAAACCCAATTTACAGCCAACTCATTCGGGAATGACACACCAAACATTATCAACCTATCAATGTGTGATTTCATTCCTAGAACGTGGGCACACACAGGTTTACCATCTTCATGTTTCGTTTCCAATAGGGCTTTAGTGATGTTGAACCTTTCAATTCTTCGATCTTGTGGATTAGGGAGAAAAATTGGAGGAGGTGGAGGAGGTGAAGCACGATATCTTGTTCCTTGATCGAATCGTGGAATACCATCTTCATGTGGAATGCTTGTTCCACGGGATTTGGGAAGACCATAGTTGTCAAACTTTGACATCTACAACACGGGAGAAAACGAATTCAAGTTAGTTGATTGATTGAGTCCTTAGTAAATAACCCAAATGAGATACTAAGGCTTAGACCCAACACAATATGCTACAACCTAGAAAAGGGATGCCGTAACGGTAAGACTGACTTTTACTCATACATATATATAATGTTAGACTTTTAATGTTATATATAGTATAGGGTGAATTTTACACTTTTAAAATACTAGTTGATCAAATTTAACAATTATACTTTTAATTCAATTAAATTGTAAACCTAAAGTTTTATGGATTCATTAAACTTCTTTTAATTATACACCCTAATTAATTGATAAAACCATAAGGGTGTGATTTGAACTTTTTCAAAACATTACTAGGGTTTTAGAATTTAACATTCCTAATTAAACTTTTAATCAACTTTTAAATTCCAAAACTTGAGGGCATGTTTTGAAACCTTTTTTCAAAACATTAGGGTTTTAACTATTTATATTTCAAAACTACAAAACTTTTGGTTCAAATTTAAACTATAAAACCTAAAGGGGAAAATATGAAACTTTTCATAACAACAAGGATCAAATAACAAATAATCTAAATTAACAATTAATCACATAATTATCTATATTTGATTTATTTAATGATTTCTTGCAAAACAATTTATCAATTTAGTCAAAATAATTAATCAATTATCACATAAGGAAACAATTATCTTATTAATTGATAAATATCTTCAATTAGATCAAGAATATAGTCAAATATATCATTAAATCGGATTTATATTGATCTAATATGATAAGGTAACTATCCCAAAGCAAAAACAGCAAGAATTCCCGAGATATGCTCCATCTGACGAGTTGACTTGTCAAGTCAAGCTTAGACTCGTCAAGTCTGCATGGACTCGGCGAGTTCAGCTATGGACTCGGCGAGTCCAGCCTCCAGAACATCAAAAAATGAATTTTTGAACATGTAATGCATCAATACAATTGAAACCAGTCTAGGCTCTGATACCACTGATGGGTTTTGGTCATAAGAACATCCTATGTGCTCATACAAACCCTAATGCTTGGATCTAGGTTTCTCTATTGTACATGCAAGTTATCCAAGACTATAAACCCTAATTCTAGCATTCAAATAATCATATAAACATGAGAATAGGTTTATAATGTTACGTTGATTGTTATGTAGCAATAACAATCCCAAATCTCCTTGTATTGACTTTGGAAGGCTTAGAGTTACAAGTGTCACTCCTCTAATGGTTCACAAACACCATAAGCAAGAGGATGAAGAGGAGAGATGATAGAGGCTACCAACACTCGTGTGAAACCCTAGCAAGAAGCTTAGCCCCCGTTTTTGGTCCTTAAGGGATCTATATATAGTGAGGCAATTAGGGTTATCTAACAAGGAAACCCTAATTTGGATGCTTAAGCCCTAAGCAACCCATGGAGCCCTTTCCTTAAGGCCTTGGACGATTTCATATGGGCTTCCCCCATAGAATTCGTCCACCTTATAATATAAGGCAATCCATGGCCCAAATTGCAATTATCTTATAATTACAATTCCAGTCCCCTTAAGTTTAATTAATCTCTTTTAGTCACAAAACTAATTACCAATTAATTATTGACTAATATTAATTAAACAATATGATTTCTCCTTTAATATATTATTCCCATAATATATTAATAAATCATATTTAATCCTTTCTCTCAATAATTCATCCTATCAAGTTGCTTTGGTGAAGGCAACCCAAAAGGACCATGCACCATCGGGTCAAGTACATACCAAAATAGTTATGGACTTAGACACTAATCCAACATACAAGTTATTTGAAAAGCGAGTATCAACATTTTTACAAATGCTGGTGAGTTCATAAGCATTTAGTGATTATTTTTTTTATTCATATAACTTTAATAAAAGTAGTAATTTTCAAGTATACAGTGAAATAGTGTCCTTTCCAGAAAATCCTATATTTTCTATTTTAAATGCAGTCTTCTACCATTATCAAAGTTATGTGGTGAAAAGTAGTTTTCCCTTAATCGCTATCATTATCAAAATACATAATTTAATTATTAAGGAAGTAGAAGTATTCAGGGAAATAACATATGCCTCAGCAGTGAGAACTACTGACTAAGGAAAAGAAATTATAGACTCCAGGAGAG